ATCTTTTTTTTAAATATGCTGGGCCAAAGTCAGAGAAATCAGAAATGAGGAAGAGATTGCAAGTGAAATCTTGAAAGAGAGAGGTAGCTATTGAAGAGTAGCCATTACATGCATTGTGTAATTTCAGAGGCTCCCACCCAGCTCCTCTCTGTCTATAGGACACTGAAACCCAGAGGAATGCAGTGCATCACTTACATTCCCCCAACCAGGTTAGTGACTCACTCAAAACTTATAACCCAATCATCCCAAGCCCAGAGCTGTGTCTTGTAAAGTACATTCTCCCTAAACTGTTTCATGCGTCTCCCTGATCCCTTCCACTCCCCACACAAATAATCGTTTTTATAAATAAGTTAGTTTTAGGGGAAATTGCATTTTGTTATAATTTACGTGAAAAGTATGCTCTCATTTGACTTTTCCTTTTCAAGCTTACTCATCGTATGTACTTAAACCAGAATTTAGTAATCCCCTTACACAAAGACACACACCACACACACACACACCTATTTTGCTCTGCCTCTACCTGCACTCTTCCCATGAGAAAGGAAAAATTTAAATATAATGGTTATATTAAATCAGCTTGGGTTTGGTGTGTTAGCCTTTGAAGTACCTTTGCCAGACTGTTAAGAAGCTTCAGAGAGGTCATGGTGTCACTCAGTGTCAGTCAGAGACAATAAAGCATGCCCTGTGAATTTTGTGAGAAATGGGATTAAAGCTTTAGGGAGGTATTCTTTCACACTAGCATCCTTTTTCCCTCTGCTAGAAGTAACCACATGACTGCATAAGACCCAGGTCAGGGAGGTGGAAGGAAATACTCTCAGCATTTCCACAGTGGCAGTTTTTTATTGATGATAAAGTTATGGATGGTGTTATTTTAATTAAGAACTAACTTTTTGTTAACAATTAAACTTTCTATATGGTTTCTGGGTCCATAGATTGGTCTGTGGCTATCTATGTAAATGGCCATTTAACAGTAGGCTGTATTAAAAGAAGATTGTATGTAGGATTTCAGAGCATCATGGAATTTTAGGTCTGAAGGACCAGGAAAACGCCAGTTAATTTGTTACATAGGGTTTTTTCATGTTTACTCATTCTTCATACGTTTTATACATTCAATGATTGTTTCTCTTTTTTTCAGCTGTTTTGCATGTTAACTTTTGCCAAACTTTGAAACACTCTGAGGAGAACTATATTGCTCTGTCCCCAAAATATTTATATTTGAGGCCTATCTTATAGAAAATTACGTCTTAAAATGTTTTTCACTTAAAATATCTCTCACCATCCTGGGTGCAAGGCCACTGTGGACTATGGCAAAACCCTTCTCTGCCACTACTGACCTTCATCTCTTTGGTGGGTAGATTTTATATTTTGTTTTTCTAAACAAGGGAAAACAGTTATAGTTCCACCTCCTATGTGCTTCCTCTCGTCTGAGTTGTAAGTTCAGTACGTGCACATATGTAAGATTTCAAGTGCAAAAGGAGAACAGAGTAGGAAACAGATTTTCACAGTCCCCGTCTGGGTCCTTGCGTAAGTGCCAACGTAAAGCTATTCACTGATCAGTGAATAGTATCATGTTGCCTTGGCTCTAAGGCATTTGAAAATCCAAACTTAATAAGCAGATCAATTGGGTGGGGGAGTTGAGATTATTGTATGGCATTCCAATGACATGCAGTGTTGTCAAAACCTTTTTACTCCAGAAATAAAATTACAGGAGGCATATAGATACCTTTCAAAATGTCAGGAAAGGGAGTTGGGGGGTATTTAGTTAAGAATAGTGAAAATACACCACTTATCACAGGAAGCATCTGGGTATCTCAGGGTAAAGGGTGAATTTAATGTGGGTCAGAGAGGGGGAGGTCTGCCCTGAATCCAAGCAGGTAAATGAATTAAGCTGAATGTCTGCAAAGAGGGGACTTCTGGGTAGAGGTGTGAGCTCCTGGGCCAAGAGGGAAGTCAAATTACTTAACTCCTCAATTTTTAGGAGCTTATAATAACTGTGTTTGTATTCCCCTTCAGAGCAAAGGGCAACTTGAGGGTTAAGTCTTGAGGGAATCATTCATATCCATTTCTACTTCTGTCCCACTTATTCAGCTTATATATAAGGGCTAGTTTGGGTTTAAGTTAAGATTTTACACATTTCCGGGGTTTTCCTGCTCCCTTCAAATTTATTGCCACCAACTTACTGATGTCTGAAATTTTTTTTTAACTTGAGACAAAGCATTCCATTCTATAGTTAGAGATAATACTATAAATCTATAAGGACTGTAAAATTTTATATAATTATGTAAGATTTCTATAAATCTAGAAGACTATAAATTAACCTGTTTATTTAACACATCGAATGGGATTTGGCTAAACTTAACACTTACTGGGTACCTGTTCTGTGCTTGGTACTAATGAGGAAAAGAAAAGATGAACAAGTAAGACCCTGCCTTCCCATGACCGGGCTGAGGAGACATGGAAATCATATATATAGTAATTACAGTGGGATACTGCTTCCAGGAGAACTGAGATCTCCCTGTATCTTTCTCACCACTGGGTTCCTTGCATTTGTTACAGTGCCTGCCTCATAACCAAGGCTTATTATTTTTTTTTAAGTCAATGGATACAGGGATGACGAGTATCATAAAGACTATAAAAATGGTATGTACAAGGTCCAGTGTTGATGCAGAAGGTGGAATGAACAACTTGGCCTTGGAGGGATGCAACACAGATAAGGAGAGTCTTCATGGGAAATACTGAATCAGCTCATGAGAGAGGAATAGGAGTTGTCCAGAGCTTCCAGAATGGTTTTCCAGCCAAAGAATTAGTGTGGACAAAGGCAAGAAGGTGTGAAGTGACATGGACGTTCAGGGAGTTGTAAATAATTTAACAACCCCATATAGTAGAATAAAGGCAGTAGAAGAATTTTGGCAGGTGAGGACCTTCACAAATAAGTAACATTTCTGATTCGAGTCAAGGCAGATGCTGCTGGGTATCAGGATGGGCATGCAAAATAAGGACCAAAGGAAGTTGTTTCCACCTCACACTTTTAACTGAGGTTTATCTTGTTTACCTTCAGAAGTATTGGGATTTGGAAGCTAATTAGGGAGGTATATCTTAGTACAGAAACAGTAGAGCTTGATGAACTATACCAATACTGCTCCAATGAGATTTTATAATTTAGAAAGGTATTAAAAGAAAGATTTTGTATTTTCAAAAGTTAGAGTTTCATTACCAGATGATCATGTAAATAGATAATACTACTTTACAAAGGGATCTGTCATTTAATAAGTGGGCTTTCTGCCTGGTTCCTTTGAACAGTGACATCATATAAAATTTAAAATAGTTGATTTTCACATAACTTTCCAGAGAACCGTCCTGTGTGTAAATCAAGGCACACTTGGATGGGTGAGAGTTTCCCTACCATAGGAACATGACTTGGATTTCTTGTACTACCTGTAGGGTGTTTCATTATTATGTACATAAATTCACTAGGAAGATTGGGTGGGACGAGTACTTCCTTCAGTTTAGATGTGTAATCTCTTAGTTTAAAGAGAAGATCTATAATGGAGTTTTTATTTTGTTTCTTTGGACTGTTTGTGAAGCATATTCCAATATTAAATGAGCCCTACGTGAATAAAAGTGAGTTTCTTAAACTTAACTTTAAATGTACCTACTGACTATTAGCATCTTTAGGGTTGTGCTGAGTTGAAATTGATAGAAATGCTACCCTTCTTTCTTCCCACTTATATAGTTCAGCTGCTGCTGCTGTTGTTTTCTTCTACTTTCATTCTATTAATTTTTAGATAAAATAACTCCTTATTTTGCATGTTGAGTTTTAACGTACATTCTCCACTTGATAGAGGCTTTGATTTTGAGGGAAAGGTCCTTGGCTGATTGCGTTAGTTTAGCGGTTCTAGAATAAGATGTTTGTGGGGAGGGGTGGCAGAATCCTGTCATTGATTCTCTCTTTATAACTGTGCCCTTTTAGCTGGAACCGATTACCTGTGTAGTGCTTCTGGCCCTGTGCAGACTGAATCACAAGGAAGAAACTTTACATAAAACATTGATACTAAATGTTTGGTATGCTGGCAACATAAATCAACAACAATATCCATTATAAATTCATCCCTTTATCAGTATTATCTTGATAGAACTGATCCCAATGTGTGGGAATTTGAACGCTGCTTCAATACATCTAGCCCTGGGTAATTAATTATTCAGGGCACAGAGAACCTGGCCTCTGTGCTGTAGAGTAATTCTTCCTGGTCAGCGTTAACTCCACTGGCAATAATAAATAGAAAAAGTCTCTAGTGATGCCAGTATTTTAAAGTGATTAATCATCTTTCCCCCCTTCGCCTCCCCCTTAGTTTTCTTTAACTAGGATTTTTCAGCAATAAATCTTTAACAATACAGGTAGGAATTGTTCTGTAATTAAATTTTGCCCTGCTTAATTTCTTACCTTTTATGTACGATTAAAAACAATGTTACATTTTAAGGGGCTCTGATCAAAATTCAAACCAAGAAAAATCCTTTTATAGAATACCGAGAGATTCTCTATGAAAGATTAAGCTCTTGATTTTGAATATTAGATAGAGCACATATTCATAAAAATTGTTCATCAGCACCAGTTGGGGTGTCAGATATTCTGAAGTTTTGAATTGCTTCACTTGCATACGGGTTGTCTGTATCAGGAAAAGTCTGACATATACATATGTTCCCAAACAGAGAGAATAATTACTTATTTCTTAACTTTCAAATAATTGATGTGAGCTCTGTAGGAAAGGGAGATTTTTTGTCCTTTTGTGGTACACAGAGTGCCCTTGCAGAAATGGCAGGTAAATGCCTGACTGAGAACACCCATGTATTTTCAAGTAATGCCCTATAGAGCTGACCAGCCATCATGTATATTCTGGGAGACAGGGACAGATGTGACATATCTGTTGTGACACACTTCTGTACCACCAGTCTGTGGCTCGAGGTGACTCCTGTCCCTCCTCTGATGTTTTCCCTTGCTGCAGGACAACACAACGACGCACGGATGAACCTTGCCATTGCTCTCACTGCTGCCAGGTATGGGGCTGCCACGGCCAATTACATGGAGGTTATGAGCTTGCTCAAGAAGGCAGACCCCAAGACAGGGAAAGAGCACGTGAGCGGTGCGCGGTGCAAGGATGTGCTCACAGGTATGCGAAGGCTCAGGCAGGGAGGGATTTCTTAGCATCTTGCCTTGTCTATATAAAGACTGAATGATAATTTCTCTGTCACTTCTCTTTTATTGAAGCGAGATTTCAGAGTCCTATTAATTATATTCCTTATTGTCAACAATGACTGGTTTCACGTGAAAATTTTCCCTTGTAGGACCTGGCAATTTTTCCTCTTTGTGTTAAACAATAATGATGATCATGATCATAATAAATGCCCACAAAATTCCCACAGCTATGAATGCATTCTCTTTTCTTTACAAAAACATGTTATTAAGAAAATTCACTAATGTGCCAAGTTTCAAAGTATCATTTAGGTGACATAAGCAGTGCGTTTACCTGTCGTTAAAGTCAATCACTTTAACTTTGGTGAGATTTTCATGCCCGTCCAGTTCTATGGCCATGTGGGCGAAGTTTCAAAATTACATCATTTCCTTCAAAACCAGCACTGTGAAATATATCATCTCACAGCAACACTGCTCACACATTTGAGTTTTAAGGAGAAAGCGGCTAATTTACTCACTTTCTTCCTATTTGGCACTTTAATGCCGGGCATTTTGCAAACTAGAATGAGAGCTGAAATGAAAAAGTGGCATGTTTTTCTTCCTGCGGTTTGGACTTGGTTTCAATAAATTTACTCACATGCGAACCTTTTGTGTGGCTTCTCAATGACTCTGGTTGCCCGTGTCATTTAGTGTGGCATACAGTATAATCCACCATAGGTTAAGTTAAGAGATGAATTAATAATCCAAAGCGTCAGTGAGCAGAGAAACAAACGGAGTGTGTGATTGACGCTGCTTTCTTTCACAGGGGAGGAATTTGATGTAAGAGCCAAGTGTGTTATCAATGCCACGGGACCTTTCACAGACACTGTGCGCAAAATGGATGATAAGGATGCCGCAGCTATCTGCCAGCCCAGTGCTGGCGTCCACATCGTGATGCCTGGTTATTACAGGTACCTGTGTTCCCACTTGGCCATCGTCGTCAGAGAACGAGGGATGCAAGAAATGGTCTACATTTATTCTTGTAGCACACCTTTCTTACTAATAGATGGTCTAGCTCACTGTTCGAAATGAGAAGAAATGAGTAAAAAAAAAAAAAAAAAAAAAAAAACTCTTCCAAAGCACAAAATACAAACCAGGCTTGTGTATTTCTTAGCTTTTATGGCAATACTCCTTTCTATGAGTTAGTGATTTGGGATCTATTTTTGTACTTTTTTCAGTGTACTTATCACTAGTACACTAATAGTACACTAATAGTAAGGCTTAGCCTTACTAATAGTAAGGCTAAGCCTTACTATTTTTGAATTTAAATTTTCATTAAAACCCTAAAAATAATTTTGCAAAAATGTCCATAAAGGACATTTTCATTAAGACACTAAAAAGTTAATTTTATAAAATACCCAGATTTGCTTATGAAGAATCTGAAAATGAGGACCACTCAAGTATTTTTGTTTATAACTTTTGAAATGTGTTTTGAAAAATACTATAGCAAGTAAAAATCGGTTATTATTTCTGATTTATCAGATTAACAAAGATAATCACAGGTAGAGAAATAGATAAAGATAGAGGTGAAATAAGAACAGCTATTAATTGAAAATCATTTAAAAGTTAGGTGATGGGCACATGAAACTGAGATTTTTGTGTGTGTTTGAATTTTTGATATTTTTAAATTTTTAATAAATTAGAAAAGAAACATTTATGTGATCCTAACTAAGAAATTGATAATTATTACCCCTCATGTACATTTCAAGACATCTGGGGAAAAATTCGTGTGTCTATGCTGAGTATGGAACATTTTTATTTCCACATGTGGTAAATCTAATAGGCAAACTAGTACATAATTCTGTGAAATAATGATTTATGCTCAAGGTATTCATTAAGACATTATTTGTAGTTGAGAAATATTACAAACCACTTCAGTTTCTAACCTTAGGAGAATGGATAAGTAAATTATGGTGTACCTGCACAAGGGAGTATTATATGTTAATTAAAAATTATAATTATAAATAACATTAGTGTCCTAAGAAAACGCTAGTGATACAATGTTAGTTTAGAATGGAGGATACAAGATTGTATGTGTAACACGATCTAAGCATTATATAAGTACATAGAAAAGAGATTAAAAGAAATATGTTAAATACCAGTGGTGATTATCTCTAGGTGATTTAATTATGGGTAAAAAGGTAATTTCTAGGTAATGTGTTTAGGATGAGAGCTATCTCTTCCATATTTTAATAACTTTCCATAAAAGATGTATACATTTTTCATATTTGATAAAACAGATGTACAGATCCATGATATTTCATTTAATATCTGCATTCTTCTAGAATGCTATCCTGCTATGTAATAGATGATACTGCCTTATTAATTATCAGTTCTCCAGTAACTAAGTCTTCTTGAAGAGAGTCCAAGATATACCTAATTGTACCAAACACGCTTCTAATGAGAAAGATATTACACTTCTACCAAGAGGAATATTAATGAAATTTCTTATCCACCAGCTTCCAAGGTTTCTTTGTCATTTTCTAAATGTCTACGTGTAACTGGTAGACAGTCATTAGTATTTTCACTTAGGACTGGAGAAACCAAGGTGCTTCCAGTCTCAATAATAAAAACTTATGCAGTGGTGCTTAATAGAGTTTTAAAAACTGCTAACAGAAGTTTAGTTCAAATGAAAAGAAGAAGTAAATATATGTACATGTTGCAAATGTTTCTTGTATATAGAGAAGTTTTCAAAAATAGTTCCAGACCCAATTATATATGTTTATTTTGTGTTGGGTAAAAATATGCAAGGCCAGCTAGTTTGTAAGTTTTTTGGAGTTGTTTTTTTAATGTTTCGTAGAGTACAGATGTAATACCTAAACTATAGACACACACATCACCATAATCCTTATATTTGTTTAGGTCTTACTAGATTCAACATATTTTCCTGTACATTCTGTTTCGTACCTTCTTCACTATTGTCGCATGATGTCAGAGGACACTTTCTAGTATTCTGTATTATTCCCTGTGTTGTTTCTGCCGCTTAATAATGACATTGTTTGGGACAAGCCATTTTATTCTGCAAACCTTAGTTTGCCTATCATTAAAATGGGAAGGCATTCTGCTGTTTCCAGTACATAGACAAAGACAGTGTGAAGAGTAACTTCAGGTGATACCTTGGTAAAGAACTTCCTGGTTTGTTCATCACTTTACCTCTTGCTAACTCTGTGACTTTGGGAAGCTGCTCATTTCAGCTTCTGGTTCCTTATCTCACGTTAGTACCTATTTGTATACATTTTGACCATGATTCTTTACTTACTTTTTATCTGTTTTCTTGACTTCTATATCCCCAGCTCCTGGTATATTATCTGGTGCATAATAATGACCAGTAAATATTTTTTGAATGAATCCTACTAACTTTTTTGTGATAACTTGCCCAAATTGAGATTGTTGCTTTTTTTAATTAAAATTTTAATATAATACTTATAAGGGAAATTTAAATATATAGAGATTAAAGTATAAAAACAAAATGTGATTCTTCATTTTACTGCCAAGCTAACCCCTGTAGACAAAAATAAACGAAAATAATCACTATAGAAAAATAGAAAGACATAAAATGAAAAGTGAAAGCCTCCCTCTTCATGCCCCCAACTTCAGTTTTTGATCACACTTCCTTCTGATTCCTTCCATAAAATTTTGTGTTTATATTTGCACAAATGTATATCCTTTTAAGTTTTTTTTCATGAAGGAAGTCGTGCTACACATATGTCCTGTACTATGCTTTATAATATGCTAATAACAGAGCAGATACGTGGTTTTTAAGAAATATAAATATATAGCACCTGCATGTATAATAGTATTTTCAAAACAGAACACCTTTCTTAATCCTAAAAATTAGGCATTAGCTTCGGGCCCCTGCCCATAAGTCATGCAAGTGTTAGTCACAGCTGGGTCTATTTCAGTCTAAGATGCAGTAAGTGATCTCATTCTACTTTGGGAGAAATTAATATCTCCATCTTTAGCACCTTGAACTACAACCACTACACATCCTGTGGGAAACCTTAGAGGAGTGGTCTGGCAGCCCACTTGCTGTTCAGGCTCTGTTTCAGATGAGTCCCTTGGTTTGGGATTACAGCCTGGGTTAAGCGTTTGGTCCCTCTTTCAGCACTGACCTCGAGCAGCTGTATCGCTGGCATCCCAGAGGGATGTTTTACTTTCCATATCAAGTCATTCTCTTGGGTGGGTTGGGGTCAGGAGATCTCAGCCTGAAATGTTTCTCTGGATTTCTCAGTCTCATTCAACAATTATAACTCAAGGGTTCTACTAGGTCCTCAGAGATGAGTCAGACCTGGTGCTGCCCTATAAACCAGCTGATAATAACTTAAGGCCTAGCATTTCAAGTAGAACCTGATCAGTTTGGCAATGCAATGAGTTCAGGAGCCACTGATTTATTGACTTTAGGTGGCTAAATGGAGAGTGAGGACCAGGTATGTAGTGTATCCTGCTGGGCTATTTTCAGGGTATCTTTATGGAATTTATTAAGCTTGTTATGACCCTAACATTCCACATGTGGAATTATCTTTTGCCATGGTAGCAGCTCTCTCTCTCTCTCTCTCTTTCTCTCATTCTGGATTGTTTTAATTTCATAAAACAACACACAGAAATCATTTACTTTTGAAGGCACTAAGAACATTAAGAAGGCATTAAGAGCAAATCTGGAATTTCCATCAGAGTTGTGGGTAGATGCTCTTACAAAAGCAGCAACAATACACCAAATGACTGACATACATGAAAATCATCATCTCCTCCTTTTAGCCTACAGATGCTTTTTATTGCTGACAAAAGGTCAATTTTTTTTCTATAACGTGTGTGCATACTGCTAGCTCCAACACTGATTGCTAAGTAGTTAACAATAAATTGATTTCAGTTTAAGTAAGGGTACTTCAGGACGGCAATGGTCTGCATGAGAAAAATGTTCATTAGATCTAATCCTAGACACACACGTAAATTAGCAGCCAGCTTTTCCTGCTGATGTCAAGCCCTATGCCTCACCGCATTGTATATACCATCACTATAGTCGATAGCCATTTTCAAACTTTTGTGCCACCTTGCAGAATTAATCATTTGTAAGAAAACAAACTTTTCCCTAAGGGTGAGTTATGAATTAGGTAATTTAGAACCGATGAGAGGTATTTCCAGGTGGATTCTTAAATTTTTATACCATTCATTAATAGCTTTGGCTTCCCTCTGTGCTTGTTAATTTTATGTTTGACACATATGTCTTCACTTAAGCAGTTGATTCTCTACAGGTTCCAGTTATGTGTGTGTTGGTAACCATCACATTCACCCTTTAAACTGCTTTTAATTGCACTGAAAGATTTTGAAGGATTCAGTTGCTGTGCTTTTCTAACAGCATTTCATGTCTCAGTTGCTGAATATTATAACTTTATGCTGATGTTGATCAAGTTCATTGAGTTAGACACATAATATGATATCCGGTCCATAAAATGATGATATATAAAATATACCAACATGTAATTTGTTCCTTAAATATTAGAATATGGAATTTATCCTTTTGTTTCAATATACTATTTACCAAATTAAAAGTTTGAACTCATGAGTTAATTTCTAATCACAAAGTGACATTTAATCTAAGGGCATATCAACCCAGGATCAAATTCGGTGCTTACAAAACATATTTTAACTAGTTTCTTTTAAGATCTTTAAAGAGTTTTGTGGCAAATACAAAGAAAAAATATAGGCATACAGAGACTGAAAATACTCAATATTTGTAGTTTTCAATGTATTTTTAAAAAGTAAAATTATTTCCTGTAAGTAACCCTGAGTGAAGATGAGATCTTAGCTGAAGGTTTAAATGATTGACACACTTCTGTGGTGCTTTTTGCATGTGCTAAATAGAATAACTGAGGCCTACTCTCTCCTGTGTCTCATGTAGGCTGCAGATAGTGATTTCTTTCTGCAAGGCTGCGTGGACATGGCAGGAATTTCATGGGGCTGATGGATCTTTGCAAAGAAATATTAGTACTCTTTATGGTTTAAATGAAGAAGATACATTAGCTAAGCTGACTGTAGGTTTCTTTTTCATAAAACCAGTTTTGTTTTGCTTTTAAACAGTATTTAGACTCTCATCCTTACACATCTGAATCTGAGTTTCATTTTTTTTTTAATTTTAAGGGAATGATAAACATAAATAGTTGACCGTATGTCCCTTAAAATATGTGAGTTTAAGAGGGATTTCTTGAAACCAAATAGAATTATATTTCCTATTCAAGAAATGTTATTAATAGAAGCTAAAAATATATTCACAGAAAATACCTTTAACATTGGCTCCTTATGAGAGGTCAGTCAACTTGAAACAGCTGTCTGAAGATCAGTAGTGTTCAACTGTTTGAAAGGGATACTTGCAGTTTCCTTCTACTCCTTTAGCAGGACCTCCACAATTTTAGAATGGTTCATGGATACATTAAAACAAGAGTTTCTAATGATTTAATAATACAGCTGAACAGATTTTGTTAACGTTCATTTACACTTGCCTGTTCTTTCAAGTGTGTTTCACAATTTGGTCTTAGACTACTAAGTAGGTATTAGAAAAATTCTTGATTAATATTTTTGAAGGTTTTACATAGTCTGTCAGAAGAGGCATCCTTGAACCTTGATTTAGCAGCACTGTACACCAGCATCTCCTGCCTATTTAAAGATTTTCATTGCTAAGATATTACTCTAAAATTGAAATAAAGTAAGAAATCTCATATTTGGTGAAGTGGTGCAAGCTTATTCAGGCACAGCGGAGTAAAGAACTTTTGGATTACATTTTAGTTTCTAGAAAGTTAGACGCTTCACTTTTCTCATGTACTTCTGAGACCTTAAACTGAAAGACGTGCCAGATGTCAAATGTCCCAGGAAAATACTTTTCATAGACTTGAAAAAAGGTTGAAGAGCTATCCTTCATTGACCATCATGAAAGAAATTAGAGACATTTATCCTGCTGACATTATCTGATGTGAATGGTCCAAGGGATATAAAAACCCAAACAACTGGAAATTGAAGTCCACTTACTTAATTTACCTTGCATTACTGAGTGGGGCAGCCTGAGTTCTGCTGTGGAATATTATTATTATTATCACACTTGCCCCATTCCTTTTGTGTTACCAGAATTATTTTTTCTTTTAGGGATTTCTAGATTAGGGTAGTGGCAATAAAAGTAACAGTTCATGTGTTTCTTGTTTGTTTATATGAGAATTAGTGGATAAAATAGTTTCTAGAATGCAGATAAAGAGCAAACTTCGGCTAATTTCAGAAACATATGACCCTTCTTTTTATCCCAGCCCAGAGAGCATGGGACTTCTTGACCCAGCGACCAGTGATGGGCGAGTTATTTTCTTCTTACCCTGGCAAAAGATGACTATCGCTGGCACTACCGACACTCCAACTGACGTCACACACCATCCTATTCCTTCCGAAGAAGACATCAACTTCATTTTGAATGAAGTGCGTAACTACTTGAGTTGTGACGTTGAAGGTAACTTTCGGAGTTTATCCTCCCACTTTTATATCTCCCAAACCATTCCAGCTCTCACTGGGTAACTGCCATGTGTCCAGTCTGACTCATCTTCACACCTGGCCGCCTCTAACTCTTATGTGCCGACCACTTCTTGTAGAATGTTTATGAGGGCCAAGTTATAACACAATAGGAAGAAATTGCCTTTTTTCCCTCTACTTTCCACATCCACATGAAACACATACCGTCCTTTTCTGGTCCTTTCTAATGGCAAGATTGGAGTGCTATTACGAGAGCTCTAAACACCCATGCTCTTCCAGAAGAGTATGAAATGTTTGCATCGCTATTTAATTTCTAGAGCTTGGGAAGATCTGATTTACAGATCTAGGATATCCATAGGAAATAATTAATCAGAGAAATGAGAGGATAGAGGTATGTATTCTAAGAAATTTAGTGAGCTGTTATTATGTGGAAACTGGAGTGTTAACAGTGGATTTAGCTAAGAAGAATAAGTATACTTGTTTTAATTGAAAAAGCCAAAGTTTACTTCTTTCCAGTGCTAACCTGAGCATGCTTTCTTTTAACTTGGATGTCATAGTACCTTCGTTTTTTTTTTTTTTTGGTGGTACGTGGGCCTCTCACTGTTGTAGCCTCTCCTGTCGTTGCGGAGCACAGGCTCCGGATGCACAGGCTCAGCGGCCATGGCTCACGGGCCCAGCCGTTCTGCAGCATGTGGGATCTTCCCGGACTGGGGCACAAACCTGTGTCCCCTGCATCGGCAGGCGGACTCTCAACCACTGTGCCACCAGGGAAGCCCCATAGTACCTTCTTTTAACTTGGATGCCATAACGTTTTCTCCAGTGGACATAGATGGTATAATGCATTTTTTTTTTTTTATCCATGCTAGTTTCAGAAGTTTCGCAACATCATCTCCTATCTCAGTTAATAGCCTCATCATCTGACTAGTGACCCAGGCTAGAAATGGCATGCTCATCTTTGCTGATCCTTCTCTTTCCACATCCAGTCCAACTCCCATCAATGCTCACTCTGAAGTATCCTGTAAATCCCCTCTCACTTTCATTACTCTGGGTCACACCTGTGTCACTTTTCACTTAGAGTTGCATTGGTCCCCTAACCTGCTTCCATATATTAAGTTTCTGTCCCCACCCAGTCTGGTCCTTCCACCAGAACTCTCTAAAACACAATTCTGATCATCACTTCCCTGCACAAAATTATCCCTTTGATATCTCATCATTAACTTCAGGAAAAATTTTAAACTATCTCATATGGAATCTAAGGCTTTCCACGACTTGTCTTTGCAGGTTTATATTCAGCTACTCCACTTATGTGCATTCAATAGTTTAATCATATTACATTACTTACTATTTCCAAATCAGGTCATGCACTTTTAAACCTTCATGCCTTGTTTACTTAGGTTGAAGTCTTGCTCTGGGATGTCTTTTCCCCCAACTTCTCATTTTGGCAAAATACTATTTATACTTCAGAAGCCAGATATCTTTTGTAGTCCCCTAGAATGCTGGTCTAGTATATCACAACATTATACAATAGGTAATAGTCTAAGATATATTCTTACTTGGAGCTCCTTACAGGTAAAGATTCTTTATTCAGTTACAAAGCTTGTTATATATCTGGTATGCCACTCATGATTGTTTTAAATCAAAATGAATTAGTAATAGGTGCTTTCAGGGTTTTTGATGCTGGTAGCAATTTGAAAATCTTTGTATATTAAGGTAGAAAGTTTAAGATTTTTGAAAATAGTCTTCATCTGTTTCTATCAGGAATCTCCTATAATGTTGGCTTCAATGGAGGACATGCAGACACAATTTTTGTCTTAAGGTGACTCAGTAGCATCTATGAGTCCTTTTTCCCTAAAGAATTTTTTTCATTATGTGATCACACATTTACAAATAAACTGCTTTAAAAAATGGTTTAGGGGATTCTCCTAGTTTAATTGATTGATCCATGTATCCATTGATCCATGTATAGTTTTAGTTTCTTCTAATTTTAAATAATGGATGTAATTTCATTTTGAGTAGATTCTCTTTGGATAGCTATAATAATAGTATAAATGTATTAAATGCACGCAATTGAAATCTGTGTGGCTAAATTTATACTCTTTCACACACACACACACAACACTCAAACATAGTTGTTTAAGAAATACTCATGCCCTGTTTAATATCCATACTTAAATACTCAAAATGCATTTCAATTTCAGCTTTTTTTTTCCACCTTTTGCAAAGTAGGAGGAGCTTCATCTGGGTATGATTGTATTTTAATGTATTGATTATTGTTAATGAATCCTGCTTAATTTCACATTTACCTGGGTATGATATTTGTTAAAAGTGGGTTTATATTGGGCCATAAGAACAGGAAATTTAGATTGTTAGAGCAAGAAATAAAATTAATTCAAGAGCAGAGAGCTATAGTCGACAGTTTCCAAATTTTAAAGTTCAGATGCACTAACGAGAAATCTAACTGCTTATACAGGATGTGCTGGGAACAGGTGTAGGTTCCAAAAGGCTGCTGTGTCCATATCGTGGGTGGGGATTTCCATCAGTGAAATGAGCCTTGGACTGGAACAGAGACTGAGCCTGTACCTATCACTTTTATTCTGCTTATTAATAGGTAGGAGACTTGGTAATACCCGCTGGGACCTGCTTGGTCTATAGAGGTCTTTTCGGTTAACATACCTTTTGGTAGTCAGGTTAATTGGTGAAACTAACAAAGAGTTTTTGTCAGTTTTGATTTTTGGTAAAAGCGGATTGAAATTAATATGTGAACACTGTGACACTGTAACACAGGCTTTTCCTCTGGTGCTCTCGGGACTCTTGAGTTTACAAATTCTCCAGGTAGCAAACATCCAGGGTAAAAGCAGAAGTGACAGCTCTTTCATTTATTTCCCTGTGCTCACCCTCTATCACACGTTTCTTACTTATCAGCTTATCCTTTGAATCAGCAATGATTCTTTATGGTTTCTTTTCATTCTTATTTCTACTGGACTGAAGGCCTCAGAGTATATGAGGAATTACCTTCAGTCTTGGTAGAGTGCTAGTTAGCTAGAGTATGTCTATATCTAAAGTAAAGACATTCAAATTTGTATTTTTTCCAAGGAATTTTGGTGAAACCCAATGCTGTCTTCTATACTGATGAAATGTGAAAGAGAAACTCGGCCTCAGGCACCATTCAGTTTTTTTGACTACATGCTGTTGCTACACATATTTTAATCTTTCCATTTGTCTGCAGTGGGTTATGCATGCTTTATTTTTGAAAACTCTACTGTTATTGAGCACTTTTTATGCTACACACTCTGCTAAGCATATTGCTTATATTATCTCTGATTCCTCGTAACAACCTTGTTAGTTTTATTTTGTAATTCCCATTTTGTAGATGAAGAAACTGAGGCCCAGTGACTTTGTTTCCTTCCCATAGCTCATTCATGTTGGAGCCATGATATTGAATGCAAGTCAGTCTAGCTCTAATACTTGTGCTTCTAAATATTATGCAGTATTCCAATTGGTAGTCCCGGGTTTGTCACATGATGTGATATTATATCCACTAGGGAGTGGATTAAGCCTCTCAGTTCATTTCATGGAAGCTGCCAGACACCTTCAAAATGATAGTGACCTTTGCTCTTGACTGGCCTTATTTGGATTTGAATGTTAAAGTAGAGGAGGTTTCATTTCTCATAACCAATCCCTTGGGCCAAGCAGTCTTCTCTACAGATTTAAAAAATAAAAAATTTGTGTAGATCCTAGAGGAAATACTTTTGAAATGGTTTGTATTCACCAGGGTTGAAACAATCATTTTAAAAGGATTTATTAAGTGGATGAATAAGTAAAATTCTGACAACAGTTTCTGAGCCTCCCCAAATGGCTATATCCTTGAGAAGGAAAAAAGTGTCAAATCTTAACACTCCATGCTGTTCGCAGCGGCTGCCACACTTCTGCAAAATGCATCGGAACAATTCTGAAAAGCATTTTGCCTGTTGGGAATAAGACCATGTCTTCTCTTACGATTTAGAAAGCTTCCCATTCACAGGCTGAATTTTCTAGATTACTTGTTTTTTCTCTTCTGAAACGGGTAATTGATAGTTGTGCAGTGCGTATTGGGTTAGGAAGAAAAATGATCTTTTGAAAAATGTATCATTAAGTCCTCTGTGTAGAGGTTAATCAGAAGGACACAGTGGCGAAACTAAGCTGTGACTTAAAGGGATTGAGGAAGACAGAAGATTTGCAGAGTGCTTTATCCATGTAGTTTTTCTGGAGTGCTTCTCTAAGCAGCTTCTCTAGTTGTACACAGGTTTTCACATATGCAATTAGTAGTGTTTATAGATTGCCTGTTATTCAGTTAACAACGGAGCTGGCCATATCAACTCACTGCAGACCTGCCTTTTCACTGCCAGAGATTGTACCAGGGTTATCAACTTACACAGGCTTGGATGTCTTCCAGCTGTTTAATTATAGTGTCACGCGCTTTGCTTTTTCTAGTTTCATTAGTTTATAAATGTAATATGGTATCTTATTTCTGTGATTAACACTTCATTTCTGCAGGTTAAACATGCTGGTAGAGAAGGTATTGATTTCTGACACTGTTTCCCCTGTGTTCACGTAGGTATTTTCACATGCTTTTCATTGATTTTTTGAAAGTGGCAAACAGGAGAAAGAGCACCCCAAAATGTATGGCTAAATAACTGATGGGAAGCAAAAGCGCACATTTAGCTCTTAATTGTTACTTCCTGTGGGCTCCATTTTCTATTAACTTAAAACCAACACTTGTCTTGCCAAGTTTTTAAGAATAAAAATATTAATTATCATTGGAAACAATTACATAGCACTTAGTCTTTTCAACCAGCTGTGAAAAATGTCTATTCAACTTTACTATTTATATTTTATTCTTTATATATTTTATACACTAAAACCTGAGTGAATTATTTATCAGGGTAGTAATAAAAATAATTCTTAAACATGATGGTAGAGGGACTATTTTATTTCCTTACTATCCTTCTGAAAATATTGACAAGTACTTTTATACATTCTGGAGTACTCATGGGATTTTTAACATCTGGGCAGTTGGCACTTAAAAATCAGAGTGGCATGGACATACATACACTACCAAATGTAAAATAGATAGCTAGTAGGAAGCAGCCGCATAGCACAGGGAGATCAGCTTAGTGCTTTGTGACCACCTAGAGGGGTGGGATAGGGAGGGTGGGAGGGAGACGCAAGAGGGAGGAGATATGGGGATATATGTATATGTATAGCTGATTCACTTTGTTATAAAGCAGAAACTAACACACCATTGTAAAGCAATTATACTCCAATACAGATGTTAAACAAAAAAAAAATCAACTGGGTGAGCCACTCTCATAAGTGGTGTTTAATGAGAATTTTTCCCAACTTTAATAGTAGTGTTGTTTCCTGTCATCTTGTTTTATTAAAGTGTTCAGTTGTTTTAAAAGAGGATATCCAATTGTTTAAATATATAGTCATTAGAAACCTAAAGTCTAGCATGTTGACTCAGAGGCCAAAATATTATTGCTTTTGATTTTGTAATGTCAGCTCTTGTTTGATATAAAAAGCTCAGAGAATGTTTTAATATGCCATTTCATATTTATTGATCACAATACATGACTCCTACTTGATACAGTATTTGAGGTACTGAGAAATACTAGAATTGATATTGCCGAAGACTTTCAACATGGTGAGGAAGATGCAACAGTAATGCCATCTTGTTTAGCTATCCTGACAGTACGAGGACCAGGAAAATCAAGATGAATCTTTGAGCTCTGAAGCATAAAATCCTTGAGTTGAGTTATTTTCTTCACGTGTTATACCATGGAGAGTTAAAGTAGGTGATGTTCACTGTCTACTCCTGGCTACAACCTAAATGAGAGAACCGATTTCTGGGTAAGAACTTGAGGGTAGGAGTACCTAATTTAGTACAAATATTTTCATTTCTTTGAATTGATGAGATTAGTAGGAGAGGAGGATACTTTGAAATGGTAAATATGGAACATGTTACGACAATAAAAGTATTTTGAGGTGGGATGTCTCATACTATTACAGCAGATTATATTCTCACAGTCAAATTTCACTGAAAGGATGCTCCATTGAAGACATGGGCAAGGTGGCCATGGGGGAAATACCCAGCTTGATGATCAACCAGGACAAGTCTGAGATCTACCACTTGGTGGTTTTACTCTAGAACTGCCTTATGCAATATTATAGCCTGTACATGTGCATATCATGTGGCTATTTAAATTTAGTTAAAATGAAATAAAATTTGAAATTCAGTTTCTCAGTTGCATGGACCACATTTCAAGTGCTTAATAGCCTCATGCAGCTAGTGGCTAGTGAATCAGACAGTTTAGATACAGAACATTTCCATCACTGTGGAAAAGTCTATGGAACAGTGCTGCTTTACAGAAGCTAGAGGTATTTACATAGACATTTAGAGAAGCACTCAATTTATTAGAGTCATTGAATTTGTATTTTTTGTTTTTTGTTATTATAAAATAAATAATATATTATCATGTAAAAGAAGATCTCCAGATATAAGAAGCCTCAAGAGGTGATTAATTTAGTGATTGAGCAATGTCTTTAGCGAAGGGCCCTTATTTCTCTTCACTCCACCACCCCCCAGGTAGGCTTCATGGTATGGTTGTTTCCCCCATGGTTACAATATGGCTGCAGCAGTTCCTGGCAATTTTGGAAGGTTCTCTATGCTATCTGTCCACTGCTTTTGAATCTCTTTCTAAAGAGAATTTTAATAAGAGTTTAACAGCGCACAAGGTTTCCACTGTGTGTGAATAAGTAATAAAGAGAGAAACCTGTTTAGTTTGTTGCTGTCTTTTCTACAAGAGGTTAGAATTCATGTTTCATGTGTTTAGCTATGCTGTGCCTTGTGGGCCTAGGTTATACCCATAGCCCTGACTGGTCATTACTTAATTTGGATGGTAGAGAGGTAAAAAGTGCTTTTATTCTTCAGCAGCAAATGGCATTTTGAATAATCCATAAAAATCATTAAATCTCAAGGTTGGGAGAAAACTGATAGATGATAGATCACCTGATCCAACCACACTTTAGTCTAATAACATAAAAATGCTGCAGGCTATAAAGCCTGACTCATACTTGAAATATGATTTAAAATTTGATTATCCTTAAATGAACCTTTTTAAATAAATATAATCCCAACATTCATCTGATATAATTCTCAGGCTAAAAAGCTGAATGCTAAAATATCAAGCAAAATAAATTAAGGTTCCTGACATGTTATGAACTCTTCCTGTCAGTGTTTTCTTTTCTTGTTTTGAGTATCAATTTCAAAAATAAGGATTAAAAATGGTATCAGTATACATAATGTTTTATTTAATTTTCCTCCATGAATGAAAAACTCAAGTGTTTTAGTTTGGTCTTTTCGTTTCAGACAGTATAGTTTCATAGTTGTATTTTTCTGCCTGTTATACCAGAAAAGGTAAAGCATTTGCCACAAAGATTATTTGCATGTGCTTTAAATTTAGAAAGTCTAGTTTTCCACAGAATAATTTTAAGATCAGTCAGAAGGCTGTAAGAACTGAAACCAAATTCCTGATCAGTGTGGCTACCTAAGGAATTTCAGAGAACACACTCTGCAGACTTTGCAGTGACCACAATGACGTTCTGAGTGGTTGGCTAAGTTTTATTTTTGACTCTGAGGGCAATTTGAACTCTAATGGAAAACAGTGGTAATTTCCTAGTTAAGTTTTTTGTAAAGATTAAAATATTGCATGATTTATGTTGAGGTTTTACAAGACTTCTGTGGAATTGTGTGGAGCAAGAATTAACCCCCATTCCATGGACGCCATCAGAATTAAACATACTGAAGAGGATGCACCCTTCAAAGGGGCAGATCTAGGGATGGAATCCCTGCATTGAGTTACCAGTTAACAAGACTGCAAGCCTTAGGCTTTTCTCACCAGTTTATGAGGTTTACTCTCCCTTTGTTTTAGATTCAGTGTTGGGATATGGGTTTGATTAAACACCCCCATAGAGGTGTATGGGTACCTCTTCTTTCGGATTGTAGTCATGTTTAGAGTGTGGTCCTCAAGGAGCTAAGCTAAAATATGTCAGATTACCTTAGTTGAAGTTATCTTTACCAGAAATCTTTTTTTCGTTTGAGATCAAGATGGAGAGATTGTCATGCAGTATTACTTGTTTCTAGGATCTTTCCCCTGTACTTTTTAGGTGCTTTTTTTTTCTTTCTTTTTTTTTTTTGACTAGTCCAATATACCAGTCACATCAAAGAGTCTTTGTGATTCTTTACACAAGATTTTGCTAGATATATATTTAAGTACTTTTCAGAGTCTGCTGTGTCTAAATGTATAGGAGGTTCGCTGTACAAGAACACAGGACCAAGGGGTGAGTGAGATCTGAAATCCTGACTGCCCTCTGCTCCTAATAAGTATCTTTGTTTTCCCTGAGAAGAGATAGCAAGATATACTCTAGGAGGAAATATAACAAGTCATGTCTTTTGGGTTGTTTTTTTTTTTTTGCGGTATGTGGGCCTCTCACTGCTGTGGCCTCTCCCATTGCGGAGCACAGGCTCCGGACGCGCAGGCTCAGCGGCCATGGCTCACAGGCCTAGCCGCTGCGCGGCATGTGGGATCTTCCCGGACCGGGGCACGAACCTGTGTCCCCTGCATCAGCAGGCAGACTCTCAACCACTGTGCCACCAGGGAGGCCCTCTTTTGGTTTGTTTTTATTTTGTTTCTGCTTTGTTTTTGTTCTTTGTAACTACTGCAGATTGTCCCAGCTGAGGGTTGCTAACATTTGTTTCTTTTGTTTCCTCTTTGGGACCCATGTCAGTGATTTTCCAGTTCTTTACTTTTTTCGTCCAGGTTATCTTTGTAACAAAACAATTCTTTGAGTTTTTCTTGTAACTTACCCACTCATTTAGTTCTTATATTTAACTATATTCCCTCCCTTTAAAAGTGCATATTCATGTGTTCCTTTTACTGAACTCTTTTCTGCTTTCTAATCATTTTAGTTTTGTTGAGACGTCTTTGAGTAATCCTCTTAACCCTTGGCATTGATCCTTCCCAGTAAGAAGAGGGGATGTCCTGGCAGCGTGGAGCGGTATTCGCCCCCTTGTTACAGATCCTAAGTCTGCAGATACACAGTCCATCTCCCGAAATCATGTTGTGGATATCAGTGAGAGCGGCCTCATCACTATAGCAGGTATGGCATATTACCTTGTTGTTTGGGTGTACTTTATATCTAAAGCAGCTTGAGTTAAATTCTCATACCAGAATCCCTTTTAATGCTAAAGAACAGGGACTTTTTTTTTTTTTTTTATGATTCTGAGTAAAATCCTATGCATTGCTTTGCCACATTTGTTATAAAGACTTTTTTTTTTTTTTTTTATGATTCTGAGTAAAATCCTATGCATTGCTTTGCCACATTTGTTATAAACAACAGGTGAATTTTGTTATTAATAAGTTGATAATTGGTTAATTATAATTAAAACAAGGGGTGGTAACCTAATGAATTATTTATCAATGTATTTGTAGGTGGAAAGTGGACAACCTATCGATCTATGGCAGAAGATACCATAAATGCTGCAGTCAAGACCCACAATTTGAAAGCAGGACCAAGTAGAACCGTTGGGCTTTTCCTTCAAGGGGGCAAAGATTGGAGCCCTACACTCTACATCAGGCTTGTCCAGGATTATGGACTTGAAAGTGAGGTGGGCATGCATTGCCACATCATCTAACTCTTGACCTAATCTCACTATTGCCAGTAACAGAATTGGCAACCATGTGGCCTCCATGATTTCGAGTTTCCTGTTGCTGGGTTTGTTTCTGTCCGTGTACTGTGGGAGTGAACTAATGGGAAAAAGCACTTTTTAGGTGCTTTAGTCACCTAAAAAGCAATGCACGTTTTGGTTTCTGTTTTAGAATCTGGAGTTTGTTTGGCTTGTTCCTAGCAGACAGGACCTCCCAAATTCTTTCTGTCTTGAGCCTAAGGAAGGCTGTTCTTCAGATGTGATATCTGGAGCAGGATGAAGCTGAAGCTTCATCAGTCACTGATACAGTAATACGTGTGTAGTAGCATTAGTGCTGGCCTAAGCATTCGGAACCAAAATCTAACACTCTTCTAGGATTTTTAGTTACAGGCTGTAAAAAAGAAAAGCCTGACAAGATAAGCATGTGCATTGTTTTGCTTTGTACCTAGAAGCTATTGATATTCAGAGGACCTGCCTGATGCAGTTTTGTTTCCTTAGGTGGCCCAGCATCTTGCTGCCACCTATGGTGACAAGGCTTTTGAGGTGGCCAAAATGGCGAGTGTGACGGGAAAGCGGTGGCCCATTGTTGGGGTGCGTCTTGTGTCAGAATTTCCATACATTGAAGCAGAGGTACGTGAATGGCCATGTGGGAATTTCCTGTCTGCCAGGGGATACCTTTCATCTGTTCACTTTTCATCCTCTTTAGAAATAACATATAGCTAAGTTTTAATGTGCATACATCAGCTAAAACCTGGAGTAAAACGTCTGCCCAGCACAGTTCCTTTCATTTACAAAATTCTAATTTCAACTCTGAAGTGATATTGATAGTGGTAACAATAATAATAGAAAATATGGATTTCTTTCTCCTCCATGGAGCTATCTCAAATCTTACTGATTCACAGTTGTTTGCCCCTTTTGAGAACTTGTAGCTCCTCAAGTTTGTACCACTTAACGCACTGCCTGATGCCGTATCTTGACTTGACACTTTATATTCATTTATAATTCACCACACTTTAAAAACATGGGTGTCCAAGTAAGCATTTTGTTGTTGATTGAAGGCAAGATTTCTGTCATCTGATTACTCTGAGACAGAAAACGTTGGATAGCCAAAAGAGATGAGACCATAACTTTTTTTTTTTAATATCTTTATTGGACTATAATTGCTTTACAGTGTTGTGTTAGTTTCTGCTGTATAACAAAGTGAATCAGCTATATGCATACGTATATCCCCATATCTCCTCCCTACTCAGCTATGTAAATTAACATCCATGTCATGTATGAACAACGAGGTGATTACTGTGCATGGTAAATGAAAAGTGATGCAGTTTACATGTTTGCACCAGATTCTATTCAAGGAGAAGGCATTAATAACTCTTATCCAAATTGTCCCAATTTCCAAATCTTCTTTGGCAGGCAGATGGGGAACTTGTATGATGTCACTATGTATCATGCCTGCTAAAGAACCAGATATGTAAAGAAAAAGGTCACTTTTCCTAAGCATGAATTTTAAGTGAAGATTTATTCCCCCTTTTTTAAAAAGGCCTAAATTAATAATTTTACTTTAATTCAAACTCAGGTGAAATATGGGATTAAGGAGTATGCCTGCACTGCAGTGGATATGATTTCACGTCGTACTCGCCTGGCCTTTCTAAATGTCCAGGCAGCAGAGGAGGCCCTACCCAGGATTGTTGAACTGATGGGCAGAGAACTGAGCTGGGGTGATTCTAAAAAAGAGGTATTGTACAGAAGTCTTTAAAACCAGTTTCCATTATAGACATGTAATGTCTTAATCTGTTAGTAGAGGCTGGCATAGTTTTGTTTGTTTGTTTGTTTGTTTTTTGCGGTACGCGGGCCTCTCACTGTTGTGGCCTCTCCCGTTGCGGAGCACAGGCTCCAGACGCGTAGGCTCAGCGGCCATGGCTCACGGGTCCAGCCGCTCCGCGGCACGTGGGATCCTCCCGAACCGGGGCACGAACCCGTGTCCCCTGCATTGGCAGGCGGACTCTCAACCACTGCGCCACCAGGGAAGCCCCGCTAGCATAGCTTTTGATGGTGACTTTAGATTGCCTGCCAGTTTTTGTGTGTGTGTTTAATATTGCTAGGCCTTAGGAAACTGGAAAGATATTCTTGTAACAAATATCTTGTTTTAACAAATTCTTGTAACAAATATCCTTATAACCAAATATTCTTCCTGGTTGTTTTTGGAAAATCCCTTATAGAAAAATGTTCTCAAATTTGTGGTCGTAATTCCTGAAAAAGTAAGATAATAACAATTGTGGGTAGAACCTTTTCTGGTTTTCACTGAAAACATTCTTAGAATGTATTCTACAGTGAAATTCACATTCCTGCAAGGTTGCCTTTGGTAGGAAATTGTGGTTTTATGGCCTGACCACCAAATGCTTATTGATTTGTGTCATTTGAAATTTTACATTTATATCCAAATTAAAAAAAGAAAGCCAGCGATACTCAGATGCCCACATATACAGCCCTGGGCTTCTTGTAATAAACAGAAGACCATCATGATTTTTAATTAAACCAAACTGTTGTGATGCGCAGAGGCATTTTCGTGTATTTATTCAGAAAATACTCTGTGTTCATTGGTTTAGTTCCTGCCCCCGCCCCCCCACCAAGTCTTTCTTGAACCCATTCCATGTAGGCTCTTTCTTGGCCACTTTGCTCTAGTGGCTCTGGTCACACTCCCCAGGCACCTTCATGTTGCTCAATGTGCTTGTCAGCTCTCGTCATCCTTTTACTCAACCAGTTAGTGGCCTTGACACAGTTGATCCCTCCCTCCTTCCTGAACACCACCTGTCTTAGTCTATTCAAGCTGCTATAACAGGATACCACAGGCTGGGTGGCTTAAATAACAGACATTTATTTCTCACAGTTCTGGAGGCTGGAAATCTGAGATCAGAGTGCTAGGTGAGATGGCTGGGTTCTGGCGAGAGCCTTGCTCCTGGCTTTGAAACAGATGCCTTCTGGGGGACACAGAGAGCCAGAGAGAGCTCTTGTTGAGGGTGCTAATCCCAGTGAGGTTTATCTAAAGCTAGTTACCTCCCCAAAGCCCCATCTCCGAATCCCGTCACATTGGAGGTTAGGCTGTCAACATATGAATTTAGGGGGATACAACTCAGTCCACAGCACCATCTCTCTCAGATCTCCTTCTGCCTTCCTCAAACTACTGCCGTTACTGACCTCTCCATGTCGTAAATACCTATTCCACTCTTTGGTTGCTTGGGCCTAAATCTTATTTTCACACTTGATCTAAGCCCATCAGCAAACCTTATCATACTTGTCTTCAAATAATGGCTTGAGTTCAACCCTTTCTTAACTGCTATCACCCTGATTCAGGCTCTCAGCATCTCTTACATGGATTATTATAACAGGAGCCCGCTGTAATCTGGCCACCACCTTTCTGATCCCCCTCATTTGTCTTCCCATTTATTCACTCTCTCCAACCCACAGGTTGAGTTGCTTTTCTTTATTCAAGCCCTACTGACCCCTCTCCCTGGAATGCTCTTCCCTAGATGTCCTCATGGCCTACTCCCTCACTTCCTCCTGCTCTCCACTCCAGGGAGGTCTCTCTTCACTGGACTGAATAAAAGAGTAGCCCCCAATCCGGATGGCATCTTCTACTCCTTCCTTTATTTTTCTCATTAGCATCAATTCTCATTTGACATACCATGCATTTAGTTTATTTACTGTCAGCCTCACCTCCCGGAAGTAAGCGTCCCAAAGGTAGGGATGTGATCTGTTTTGTTTCTGTACCCTCAGTGCCTGGCATATAAAAGGCCCTAAATAATGTGTATTGAATGAGTGAATGAACATTATTGAGCATGTATGTCACATGCTGAAGGTGTAAGGAAGGACCGGGCATAGGTCTTGTCCTTAAAGCGTTTTCAGTGTGGTGGAGATTCCTGAAGATGGTTACATATTTGTCACCTGGGAATGGTAGGGAAAAAGGCAGATTTTAAGGCTTGACTATCAGGGTCTTCAGGGGTGAAACCATGGCCCTACATTTAAAATTTTCTCCTCCAGTAATTTTAATGCCATGTATGTAGTGTACTGATGGTAGAAATCACTGTTTGAAAAGAGTTCCTTAATCCTATCACAACTGTCAGGCATAACCTTTACCCTCATTTTATAGTTGAGGAAACAGGCTTAGGGAGAAAGTCCCCGTGGAGAGTTCATACAACTAGTAGGTTGTAGAACTGGGGTTGAAACCAGTTGTTCTGATCCCAGAGCATACCCTTTTCCCACCCCACCCTGTTGCCTCTGCATTGGACGGACTGGTTTATAGCTCTTCCTGTTTTGAGTTTTGGTTTGGCCAATTAAAGCTATATACTGGGGAGTGGTGGTGGTGGGATGAATTGGGAGACATATATACACTAATTGACATATATACACTAATATGTATAAAGTAGGTAACTAATAAGAACCTGCTGTATAAATAAAATAAAATTTTTAAAAAATGAAATAAATAAATAAAGCTATATACTGAGGCAACACAGAATGAAACTTACTCTTGTGCTACTGCCAATCATTTTTACCATATAGAAGGACTGGTGATAATGTGTTCCTGTAAAAATTATGGTTGAAATGATCTGAATATGCAGGAAGGTACTTTGTGCCAGGCTGTAGGAGGTAAGAAGGAGGAAGAAAATTCTGTAAACTGCTTGTGTTCAGCCCTCCCGAGGAAACTAGATTTAACTTCAGTTTAGATTTTATGAGCAGATTTATGTACTCAGAAATATTCTCCCATCCCCCTTAACAAACAAAATAACAGAAATAAAAGACCTAAAGTTATTACTCAGTATCTGAGACATAGGAGTATTAATGAGAACTGTGGACAGTCTAGAGAGAACAAAGGAGAGGGGAAAAAGAATTAAAGGTTAGAAAGCTGGACTTCTGAGAAAAGGTTAAAAGCATTGGGATTACTTAACCTGCAAAAGTGAAAGAGGAACAAGGTGATAAATAACTCTCTGCAGATGAATTGTGGTTGTTTTTACCAGTCAGTACTTAATGAGTGACTTGTATACTGAGCATTATACCAAATATTTTAGGGGAATGATAAATAGCTCATCGTTTCAGGGATCTTCAAATTTAATTGAGTGGTTACAACACATATGTACCTCAGAAATGAACTGTTACTCAAGACCAAAGGCAGCCAACTTGGAAGAAATGGTTAGGGAGGAAGGCGTTGTCTAGGGGACTTGGGGACTGACAGAGGAGTTGGTGAAGACATTTAGAGAATGTGTCATTGTCAGGTTGTGTTTTACACAATTATATAAATTAATACATAATTATAAATAAATATCAATATATAACATCAGTGAAAAGATGGCTATGTGGTCAAAAGAGTTTGGGAAATTCTGAGTTAAACAAATGAAACCATTTTCTTTAATGCAGATAATTTGGTGCCTTTAAAATGCTTATGTGCATTGTCAGTTTCCAAAAGGCAATTTATTTGGAGACAGACCCAACTCTCACTTGTTGGAAGGGCTGGTAGAAAGGGAAACTAGTATTGCTTTAGGATGTATTTTGGGAAATGCTGCCGTATTATTTGGTGCGGTAGACTTTATAACCCTCAGACAAAACATGCATTTCATTGAGAGACTTTAAAGACCACTCGAGTAGATTGAGGGTGTTTCACAAAAAGAAATTATTTCAAAATTGATTCCAGCAAGGAGAATAAAGGGGAAGCAAGTGAAAAATGGAGTGACTATGGACAAAGCAAGCTAATAAGCACCAAATATCAAACAGATGGAAGATACGTACTCAACAATGAAAGGGTATCCAGGACTAATAAGGATGTGTATGAACAGTGTCAGGAATTGGCTGAGTGTTGGCAAAAATGCTAAAAACACCAAAAATAACTGGTAAAAGTGGAAAAGAATGCAAGTAAGGCCTAACCTAGGTCGTTGCTCAAGGTGACTAGCACCAAATCCTTGACTGCCGGAGAAGGGAGAGAACCTTTCAACTCATAGTTTAATACCAATTTGTTTTTCTTTTTTTCCTTTTTTGTCAAGGAGAATGATTTTCATGGTGAGAAGAGCAAAATAAATATTGGTAAGAGGAAACAGACATTCAAATAGGAGGCTGCTCTAAATGAGTTTGTATGCCAACCCAGAAATATTATACTTCAGGGTACTCAGAGAATTTGCAGGTGGGATTTATTTAACTACTGTTGAGCTTTAAAATATTATGGCAATATGGCAAATAGGAAGAGCACCAGAAGACAGAAGGTAGGCAAATGTAGTACCGCATTCCAAAAAGGGAGAGGGGGGGAAATATAGTTTGTAACCTATAAATTAGTGGTCTTGGCATTGGTCTTGGGCAGTTTTCTAGGTTATGGCATTTTAAGTTTGTTTTATCAGCATTTAGCAAGAAGTAGTGATCACTGGAAGGTAGTAAGAAATCATTTCAGACATATTTTCTTTTCAGAAAGAGTAACAAGTTTGTTAGATGGAGGAAATGTTATAGACATAATGTATTCGGATTCCATGAAGCATTTTATGAAGCCGCATGTGATATCTTCTAAAATTGGTGGATTTGTAACCAAATAATCACTGTCCTCAGAAGAGGGCTTTGACAGCAGGTCATGAGGATTCTGTCTTTGGTCTTGACCTAGTCTACTGTGGTTCAGGTGCCTAGATTACGACATTGACGGCATGCATCTTTGGTGTACCTGTAAGGAACTGGAGGGAGAGTGAATGTTTGGTGACAACTTAAAGCAATGGGTGAGATTACATTAGGTATAATTTAATAGACATAAATGGCAAACCTTGCATTAGGTAGAAAAACAACTCCATCCATTCATGATAGATTTGACAAGACTTTAACAGTAGCACATGCAAAAAAGAAATATGATTTTCGTTAACTGTGAATGCACAGCAGGTAACAGTGGATCATGGCTGCCCCCAAATGCAATTACAGTCTTAGGCTGCCTAATAGAAATCGTATCTCTAGATTGATGAAGCCGATAGTTACTTCTTTCTAGGTACTTGCCAGATCTCTGCTGGAGTATTATGTTGTGTTCTGATAATTTTATTATATGACAGACTAGTTGTGGTTTGGGAGAAATTATTCAGCATGGTAATGGGATTTAAAATCATGTCTCATGCAGGAGAGTAGTTCTAAACTTAAAGAAAATTCTTAAAGAGGAAAGCTCTATCCTTAGATATTTGTTGTGGTGTGATACAGGAAAAAAAAACTTAGACTTTATAAAACATTACTGTAAGGGAAGGGGGTGGTGGTGGGATGAATTGGGAGATTGGGATTGACATATGTACACTAATATGTATAAAATAGATAACTAATAAGAACCTGCTGTATAAAAAATAAAATAAAATTCAAATATTAAAAAAAAGATAAAGAAGAAATTACAAACTGTGTATCACCCCACCATTTTGCATGTCCTTACATTGCATTTCCACATATTTATATATGTACATACTGTATCTTGAAGATAAAGCTTGGATCCTACTCTACAAAAAAAAAACCATAATGAAAAAGAATATATATATATATATATATATATGTATAACAGAGTCACTTTGCTGTACAGAAGAAATTAACGCAACATTGTAAATCAACTATCCTTCAATAAAATTAAAAAAAAAATAAACTCTCACTGTCCTTCCATGGAATTTCATTGAAAACAACCCCTCCCAACTTAAAAACAAACAAACAAACAAAAATTACTGTAAGAAAGTTGCACTAATCCCAAACAAATTCTAAGAATTGCAGAGATTGGTTTAATCTCAGCATAAATACTTTTAGCAGTTGGAGTCTTCCCTTTATGGGCTGCTTTCAGCGGAATTGAGTTACCTCCCTATTGCTAGAGCTCTTCTTTAGATGGAGACCTCATGCTTCTATTTTTGGAACGTTGTAAAGGAAATGTGGGGTTAGGGAGGTACTTTGGGTGACTTCTAGGGAAAAAAGCCCTTTCAGCTTTAAATTCCATGATTCCTTGCTTGATATGGAGTATGGATAAATTACATAGGTAATAAAGGGACGTGACTCGAGGAAGAGCTTGTTCTTGGAGGGAAGTATCAGAGATGCCACTTCCAAGGAGATGAACGTTGAACCAGTTTTATAGAAAATGACTGGGCAAAATTGGTGCAATAGAAGAATAGTTTTATTTATAACTATTGGATTTTCCTGTGTGAAGAGAGTAATCTGCCAGTGAAGAATGCCCTTGGTGACTTCAAAGGCAAGTTTTATGTATACCTTATATATCATGTATATGTGTGTGTGTGTAATAAAATAAATATTTTATGTTATATAAATAAATATTTTATTATGTTATATAAAATATTTTATATTTACATAAAATATTTTATGTTATATAAATATTTTATTATGTTATATAAAATATTCTATGTTATATATAATAAAATAAATATATAATGTAATAAACATATATAATAAAATAAAATTCCTAATGTTCTTACATAGCAAAATGAAAAGTTAGAAATGCTAAAAAGTTCTCTCAGCTAATATATATATATATATATATATATATTTATGTTTTAAAATACATATGTCTCCTAAGAGAAAGGAAAGTAGGAAGGTGATAATCTCAGGAAGAAAATTATCTTCCAAAGAAAAAGGAGCAAAGGGACTTGTCACTGACATAAACAAAGAAATATAAACACATTTCCTGCAAGAGTATGTGCTATTGTTTTATTTTCCTTGTTTCATTTTGCACTGGCACTATTCTGCAGGCCAGAATTTGGGTCTACAAATTGATTTAGTCAGATCCTTTGAGGGGAAGTCTGAGGAATTTAAGACTTGTGTTCGTAAGCATTGTTTATGTGATACTGTATAACAATTTCAGAAGCTCACTGGTCTACCATAGCAAGCACTTACTTTTCACTCATATTACCTGAAGGCTGCATGTTAGCTGCTGTGGCTCTTCTTCATATTTCAGACTGGCTTCAGATCTTTCTGATTCATGCCCTTCTTATGGTACAGGAGCAAGAGAGGCTAAGCAAAACTGTGCAATTTTGTATAAATCTTTTGCTCAAATGTGGCGTATATTATATCCATTTATGTGCCATTGGCCAAAGCAAATCACATGTCCAGACTCACATCAATGGGGTTGAGAAGTATACTTATGGGGGGAGAAGTGTGTGTGTGTGTGTGTGTGTGTGTGTGTGTGTGTTTATGAGAGGAAAGAGATATTTGTGAACAATATACAGCACAATAGAGTCATTTTGGAAGTTCTTAGTTTGGAGACTGGCGTGATGAAATCTAAGAAAGACAGTGTTCTCAGCAACAGGTAGTACCAGTTGTGGCCGAGATCATTGAAAACAGGAAGAGTAACTGTTCAATAGAATAGCTTGTTTCTTCTCCTGACTCTGTAACTTCCACCCAACTACCAGCATCCTAGTGACAAAATTTGAGAATTCGTTAACGCCGTGATGTCTGTCTTGGTGCTGCATATGCCACGTTATAATCGTTGTTCAAGACCTGGATGTCTTCTTCACTTTTAATTGCTCTTTTGTCACCAAATCGCCCATAGATTTTGCTATAGTCAATACTGTGGAAGACTATTCAGCCGTAAAAAGAAACAGAATATTAAAACATGCAGCAACATGAATGAATCTCAGAATTGTCATGCTATATGAAAGCAGTCAAACACAGAAGACTACAAACTATATGAACACTTTCATATGAAATTCTAGAGAAAGCAAAACTCTGGTGACAAAATCAGATCAGTGGCCTGGGGCTAGAGGTTAGGGACAGGAATCATTTGCAAATGGGAATAAGGAAGCTTTTTAGGGGGATAGAAATGTTCTATATCTTGATCGTGGTGGGATATACATCGAACTGCATACCCAAAATAGGTGAATTTTATTGAATAAAATTATACTTCAGTAAAACTGGAGGAGATAAAAAATTGACCTGGCCAGAAAAATGAAGATGAGCTTTCATTTTAGAAAACCAAGTGGAAAAAAAAAAGGAAGAAAAAAATCAATAATTCTTTCCATAAATCTTTGAACTTTGTGTGTGTCTGTGTTTTAGGAAGAACTTGAAACAGCCCGGAAGTTTCTGTATTATGAAATGGGCTATAAATCTCGATCAGAACAGTTAACAGATCACTCTGAAATTAGCCTGCTGCCTTCAGACATTGACAGGTACTTCTAATAAGTTTCTGTATCTCTCTTGTTTTGTCTTCACTTATCTAAGTATATTTTTCCATTATTCAATGTTGTGTTCCAGGTACAAGAAGAGATTTCATAAGTTTGATGCAGACCAGAAAGGCTTTATTACCACTGTTGATGTTCAGCGTGTATTAGAGGTAACAGTTTTTTTTTTTTTTTTTGGTTCAACATTTTTGATAGCAGAAGAATGTAAAGATTATACTAGATAATTTTTTTCTCATCTAGTGCTTTCTATAAGTAATATTTCTCTCTGAATTTTTGAAAGGCTGATAACATTGATAAAGTGATACGCATAATTTCTAATGAAACTTCATTATTTTGTGCTTTCCTTTTACTTAGAGTATCAGTGTCCAAATGGATGAAAATACACTACATGAAATTCTGAATGAAGTAGATTTGAATAAAAATGGACAGGTTGAACTCAATGAATTTTTGCAGGTGAGTTGTGGTGAAAGGAAACAAGTGTATTTGCTTTTTATCTGTTGGTCATCAATTTATATTCAGGAATGGATTTTGAAGTCCACACAGTTGTCACCTCATTCTGAAAAAGAAGAAAGCTTGAAGCCAGCAAAGGTTGATATGTCTGCCCTTAAGGATAAGGCTTTAACATGGTGCATGTTCTTTTGCTTTTTATAAGACACATTCTGTTGCGCTGGGCAATTCAGATTAAATCTAAGTTAATTATGGCTTAAAGGACTAAATCAGAAGTGTGCTTTATAAAGAGTATGCCGTGGGATACCACCACCGGACCCTTCTTTACTTCTAATATGGAAAGTATATTTTTAATCGAGGAAGTTTAAAGAAATCAGAGTTGTATTCATTTGAGAATCATATTCACTTGAGAACCCAACATGCAATGATTATATTCTTACATTAGAATGAACCTGAAAAGCAAATGGAAGGAAACCTATATTCCTGGGTCAAGACCACGTAATTCAAGCATTTCTATTTCTAATTTTCCACTTACTCAAGGCTCAGCTGTTTAATCATAACCAGGAAGGAAGTAAATTTTGTTACTTTAACTTCATACTGGATGCTACACATCATTCCTAAAAGTTCCTTAAAGGAAAGAAACTCGACAAACCTATACATTATTTGTAACTGTCCATAGGACTCTGCTCTTATGGAGAATGTATTGGTTTCCAAGCAGCCAGGTTTTTTCTGTACTGCTTCTTGGGCAGGTATTTCAAATGAATGCCAGGTCTTGCTTGCACCATGGCAATGATGAATGCTGAACATGAAATAAATTAATGCTGGGGATTTTGGTCAATGTCAGCCCTTTCTTCACTGTGTCAAGTTAAACAAACAAGATCAAGGCAAAGGAAATGGTAATTGTCTCTCTGGAGATGAGCTGCAGATAAGAGCATTGTTGAATCTAAATGCAGAAAATTTTCACAGGTTGTGTCCAGCATTACAAAAAAGAATGTTTAGTTCTTTAGCTTACTGTTTAACTAAGGGGACATTTGAAATTGAGTTTAAGACGTATGCTTGGGAATAAGAAACCATTTCATACATTTTTTTGTCTGTTTTTTTCTGTGAGAAAATTTTTTTTGTCTGTCTCAGGATTTTAGAAAACTTTTCTTCAGATAAATAGTTAATGCTTCATTTCATACACGTTGTAAATAAACAACAGCATTTAGGGTTCAAGGACCTGGGGTCTTAGAAACAATGAGTCTCATTTTATGGATATGCTATGTGGTTTGGGTGTTAAGTAATTTTCTTGACTGCAATAGAGTTAAACGTGTAGAAAATAATTTAAACCATCTGCAGGCTTTCTTGTAGAGTCTTTTTAATAATTGAGTATTTCTTTTCCAATTCTAAATGAAAGAGACTATTCATGCTTCTACTAAGTACAAATATACAGTGTAATTTTCAACTTAAAAACGCTGACAATATTTCTTATGAGATATATTCACACCCAAATACTATTTTTTTCTCGTAATATGCTTTCAAGATACATGTAATGTTTGAAGAAGACTTTGAGTTTTTAAAGGCTGGTACATCATACAATGTTTATGGATAAAGAAAAAAAACTCCAGCTCTCTCAGTTTTGTTAGCGCTGATAAACTTTGAAAGTCTTTATGGAATCAGAGGCAAGACGATAAACAATCAATTGTTCCATCTGTAGATGTCAGCATTCTTTGTTACACCATTCATCAGATGCAAAGTATGTTTTCAGGGTTTTATTTTATTTTTCATAAAATATTTTCCTTCTCTGAAGATTAAGCGCCCATGTTTATCCCATTAAACGCCATTTTGAATATAGACTTTTTTTTAATAATCCTCATGGAAGGATCTCTATACATACTGTATGGTTACATGACTTTATTTTTAGGTTTGGGCTCTAATGACACTTCTGCATGTAGGAGTCCATCTCTAATAAGCAATAGCTTGTGAAACAGCTTTTAATAAGGTCATGAAATTCTGATCCAGCCCCTTGGCAGATGCCTCTGACCCTTATTCAGAGTCTTTTTTAAGAAATGTATTTCTTTAGGCTAAAAACTATAACCCTAAAAATATTTTGAGGATTTACATATATATATATTTCTGATGAATGACTAAATCAGTTCTTTAAAAAACAAATAGATAAGAAAGATTGAGGAAGTGAGATCAAGGAAATAGTAAAAACCACATCAACTTGAATAGGAAAAAAAAAAAAAATCCCCATGCTGATAATTGCACAGTGCCTTCCAGATTAAAGGCGTTTGCCTGCTGACTGCATGTAATTTCAAGACTAATTCTGATTTTATCCACTGGATAAAAATGAATTAGCTAAAATCTGGGCTGTGGAGTGCTTTTAATTCTTAAGGTAGATCTCTGGGTCCATTTTCAAGGACTTAAATGTAAATTACTTTAAAAAGTCTTTAAGGAATTTGGATTTGGGGGACTTGAAGTTGTCAAGTACAGTAACACTAAAAAAGAGTAGTTAAATATAGGTCACGGTTTGTCTTTGTTCAATCCCTGAGATTCCCTTTTAAGATTTAAAAATGGAATTAAAGATTCGATATTTGAGTTGCTCCAAAAAAATATATGCTCTGAGCACACTGAGGGGCAAAAAGTGATGCATTCGATTTGCATTTAAAGGCAGGCTGATTTGCCAGATAGGTGTAGTTTTTGCAGTCGTGGCAAAATACCTCCCCCTTTCCCCCTTTTTGAAATGTTTGAAAATTGTACTCTTCTTAAGTGAGCTGTAGTACCTGCTGCGGTTTTCCATGGGGGCACTTAATTACCCCTGCCTGCTGCAAAGGTAACCATTAAAATGCCATGGAGAAGGGAGGAAGCTGGCTGGCCTTCTGAATCTGTTGCCTATTTTCTCTTTAAGCTGATGAGTGCTGTTCAAAAAGGAAGGGTGTCTGGAAGCCGGCTTGCTATACTCATGAAAACTGCAGAAGAGAACCTCGACAGAAGAGTTCCCATCCCCGTGGACCGAAGTTGTGGAGGACTGTGAGTCTGAGCAGTAAATCCACAGCCAACAAACATAGGAACAACAAATCATCATGTACCAAACCAGAGATGACTTACACCGCTCTAAAATAGTGGATATGGATAGCTGCCTTGTTTTAACACTGGGAAACATTCCAAAGCTTTAGGATGTCAATGTATACCCTTTATTTGTATTTGCCATTCAATCTAGCTTCTTAAAAGTGTATTTTATCTTTTTTTTCTCATTTTCAATGCACACTGGTTTAATGTTTTGCATTTATTCTGTGACCTGTTAGACTGGACATGCTCCCTTTTCGTTTGTTTATTCATTTAGTCTAAGTCAGTTTTAGAGGCGGAATATTTTGGCAGAAATTGAAAAAAGAAGCTGGGAACATTTCATGATTTGCACAAAGCTCTGGACATTAAGCTTGTTGATAGTATTTGTTCTTAAAAGAAATCGAGTGGGGGGGTGGGACCTATTAAAACGATATTGTTTCTGGAGACCCCTCAGCCCCTTCTTCCTCCAGCTTGTCTGCCTTCCTCATCCAGACTTTATATCTAGAGCGTGCCTGGCAAAACTGGAGAAGGAAGAAAAAGTTTAGATCTGGTTATAGGAGCAAATCTTAGAGAAACTCTGAAAGCTTCCAGAATCACAGGTACAAGATATAAGGATAGCATTGACATTTGCTGGGAGTTACAGTGATAGTTTCATCTCAGCAATTCATTTTTTTTTCCCCAGTCACTGCTGGTTTTTCTTTGACTACTACAGTTGCCAGGAAGATCCTTGCTTTTCTTACTTTAAAACCAGCATTTAAGTGGCAAGTTGGATACATTGGGAAGGGACTAAATTTCTCAAATCTTTACAGTAGTAATAAATTTAAGGATTAAAAACCTGTGTTTATATATCCACATATTATAGCACAATTTTCAATCCCCAAATCCTAGATCTTGGAGCATGTGATACTGTCAAACATGACCTATTTTGCTCAGGTTATTACATCATTTGGGGGAGTATTTGTAAACGGATAGTAAAAGAGGATAGAAATAGCCTTTAGTTAACTTTAGTTACAATCATTTATAAAAAGCCACAAAATTGCAGTGTTCAAGGTCATTTTAATTGCTTAAAGCCTTTCTCCTTCTGTACTCAATAGAAAAGTTCTCAATCAAACAAAAAGAAATAGAGAAAACCACACTCAGCACACACACACGCATTCCCCCATCACACACATACACACTCACAGAAAGACAAAACAAGACAAAAAATCAATCTGCCCATACCACTCTCTATATACTACCAAATGTAAAATAGATAGCTGGTGGGAAGGAGCCGCATAGCACAGGGAGATCAGCTCGGTGGTTTGTGACCACCTAGAGGGCTGGGATAGAGAGGGTGGGAGGGAGACACAAAAGGGAGGAGATATGGGGATATATGTATATGTATAGCTGATTCACATTGTTATAAAGCAGAAACTAACACACCATTGTAAAGCAATTTTACTCCAATAAAAATGTTAAAAGAAATCAATCTGCCCAGAATTTAGTAAATATGTAATATACTGAATTTAAAGGGCCAATTTGGTATGCTTTTATATTAGTTTGGTGGCATTTTAGCCAGTCATCTGATTGTTTATTCATTGTGCTTCCTCTTGTGAAGTTAACTACCTACTTCTTTTTTTTTTTTAAGATCACGTTGTGTATGAAATAGGAAATGGGACCCTTTATTTAATGTCAGGTTTTCATTGTGCAGACTCGAGATCTTAATTTTTCAAACTGGTACATAAACACTTTTGTGCTATTATTTCTATATATGTCAACATTGTAGAATATCTTTATGCCTCATTCACGTGGGGTATGAGCCTGTCTGCCATAGTATACACACTGGAGGTTCACTCACCTAAGCCCCTACCTCTACCTCTGAAATAAACGGTGAAGATAGCACCTTAACTCATTTTGCTTTTAAATGAAGTTTAGACTTGCCACTTCCTACAGGAAAACCTAAAACAGAGAAAGTGACCTCCCAGGTATCACTGTGAAGTTTTTTCTTCTAAGGTGTGAATTTTTTTTTTACACTGGTTTCTTCCTTCCTTTCTTCCTTCCTTCCTTCCTCCCTCCCTCCCTCCCTCCCTCCCTTCCTTCCTTTTTCTTCTTTTTTAATAATAGAAGCACGTGGCTCTGTAACTTAGTGTTTTTCTATCAAGACAATAACTTCACTGTTTAGAGCCCAGTGACCCTTAGTAGATAGAAGAGCTGTCCTTTAAAACATCAGAGGTGATGTACCACAATACTGTACATCTGTGCTCTCTCTCTTTCTCTCTCTTCTTTTCTAGTTAAATCAAGACAACGATGACTTGTATCCTCGCTGAATCCATTACAGTAGGGACCAGGCTTATAACCTGACTGGCCTGGGCAGAGCTGTATTTGAAAAGAGGCCTTGTTTCTGCATGCTTTTTTATGAGTGAAGTTCCTTTAAGGACAAAGAAAAACGCACTTTTCTTCTTTTGAGCACATCTGCTTTTGCTTAAAATCTGCTAATTCTAAAACATACGCTCCTTCACCGATCCCAGAGACTCATCTTGGAAACGAGCTGGTTCCAAGTCTTTACTGTGAATAAAGCACCCCTGCATTTTTGTGTAAGTTCTTAATTAAACCTGTACAGCTTCTTTACCTGATTTCAGAAAAGGAGAGAAGAAATGGGGTGGGGGGGTGTGTGTGTGAGTGTGCTTCAAAATCTATTCCAAGCACAAAAGAATTATTTTCTTTTTGTATAAACGTGGTATCAGCTGATTCTGTTGTGGTGGGTGTGAGGTGTGTAGAGATTGTCTTTTATCAAGTGATTTATTTAAAGAGGCTTTATTAAGGGGATTCAGGTGAAGGAACCCCCATCTGTGGTGGAGAGCTGGATGCTCCTTTCAGTAGCCCTTCCCACAGTCATAACAATAGTGATAACGCTGGATTATTTGTTAAGCCAAGGTTGTCTGCCTCATATCCTTCATGCTGCTGCAACATTCTTGCTTTCAATCAATTTCTACTGAGTGTAACTTTAGGATTTCTACTACTAAATGCATGCTCCCTATTTTGCTTTAGTTTCTAGCTTTGTTTTGTCTTTTTCAAAATATATGTAGCTTACTCCTTTGTACAACAGAAATTTCATTCTTTTACTAAACATACTGTAAGAACGATCATTGATCTTATTTCCTTTTTTAATGTATTTGTAAAGATTTTTGGCATATGAATGTAATAATATTGAAGTCAACGATGCTAACAACTTGCACTGTTTTGCATTATGTCAATCCTTTTTAGGGAGTAAAAGAGTCCTACTGTGCTTTTAAAGAATATCAAGTATAAACCCAGTACTGGAGTCGATATACACACTGCATGTGTTCATATATGGCATTTTTTATGTATTGTGTTGGGTTATTGTTCTAGATTGGACTCTTAAATACTATGTTTGAGGCTGGGTTGTCATTTTTATAACTGTCTTGGTGTTTTATCACCATTATTTATTACTCTTGATATACAGAATGAGCTGCATGCATTTATAGAGCAATAAGAGGATGTATTTAATGTGCCTTGTTTTTAACTGAATAAGAACTGAAAGCATGAATCAATAAAACTGATTAAAATGGGCCATTTACTGGCATTTTGATGTTATTTGCAGTCAGAGAAATAACTTTGATTACCGTTGAAGTTTAAAAAGTTTGAAAATATCTTCACAAACTGTATTTTTAATTGCACTCACACATTAATTATTTTCACTTGCAATTTTGTAATTTTATCTCAAAAGTGAATCCCTGCATAGACCAATGCAATTTTATGAGACTGCCAGGTTTATTTGTATTAATTTGTTGCTGGAGGCTTTAGGGCACGACTTCTGTATCTGTGCAATCCTATTCTAAAATTACATTCATCCTATTCAACTCTGTTGAATTCTTTTTTTCCTCTCTCTCTTTTTTTTTTTTTTGTCAAGCAGAGCCTTTCAGCCTCAGCGTTTCCAGGCACACTGATGAATTTTATCATAAGTAAAATCAATAGAAATGAATGGGAAAGATTACATAATCCATTTTGATCATCTTACATGTCAAGTTAGTGTAGGGTTGCCAAGTGCTGATAAATGCTCTGACGGAAAAAATGCTATATATTTTCATTGTCAGTAAATCAGTAAAGCTGTTACCAGTTTTAACACAAATTTTATAATGCCTATGTTATTTTATATGTTTTAATTTACACACGTATATGGAACATCGTCTCCATTTGTGGTTTAGAAGTGCTGCCCCTTGGTTTTGCGTGCTCAAAGGCCTGTGTGAGCTTCTGAAATTTCTTTGAAATTGTATAGAATAACCCAGAGAACTGGCCCTCAGACAGACTTGGAACAATGAACTGTTTGTTCAATGCCTGGAAAAAAATATATAGCAGCTCAAAACATTGTTCATTGATTTAGCTTATCAAATTTCATAGCACTTTAAAATTTGTCAACATAAAATTTGTCAAAATACATTGCTGCCAGTTTTCAAAATGTATGGTAATGAATTTATGGTAATCAAAGAAAGAGAAATGGATACTCACATCGACATTTTGCAGTCTTGGTCAACACTGCATTATCATTGGTGGCAGATTTCACCTGATGACGTTTGACTTAGGAAGGAAACAGTCCACAGAAGTTTTAAATTGTTCTGGCACCCTCATAACAAGAGTATTTCTGTATAGGAGATGGAGTTGATGAGCCTTCTGTGCTTGTACTTTGTATTTTAGGTGTCTAATTAGCTACCACACTTGTGAAATACGTGCACACAAGGTGAGGTATGTGAGCCATGATGACACCAGAGACAGTCCTGCAGGTCCTGTGCTAAGAAGGCGGTGGGGCCTTGTCAAGCGTCAATAAATACCTTGGCATTTTGTTAAATGCTTGATCCAGAATAGTAAAATTTATTTCATCTAAACAAAATACCACTTTGGCGAAATGATCAGGGCTATCTTCATTCTCCACATGCGGCATCGAATTGTGTTGCTTAGCAAACCATACCATCGGTTCCCTGTTAGTTCCCCACATTCACACTGGGGTTGCTTGCAACTATGTCGATTAAGGTGCGCATCCTGTAGCCGTAGATAATCTATCATGTTTCAGTGGAAGAGACCGGAGGATTGAGTGTCACTTGGATAGTAGAGCATGGCACGTGGTACAACTGGTTCCATCTGCTTCTGAGCCCTTCAAGCCCACCTTGTTGTGTCTGAAGCAGAATCTCCTCTCATTCTCCAGGTACAGTGACTCCTGTAGAGCCCGGGCTTGCTCCTTCACTGGCTGCTAGCTTTCCTTCGGTGTGGTGTTTCAAGGAGTTGGGAAGTGGAAAAGTATTTTTTTTCTTTTCTTTTGGCCTTGGTGCCTATTAAAAAACAGTTTAAGTAAAGGAGAATCTTGAATTGGAGGCTGGTTTTTCTTCATGGTCATAGGATTTCTTTATCCAACCTCATACTATAAAACTGGCTCTAACTTTTTGGTGATTTCTTTTAAAAATCTAATGTAGGCATATCTGATTTTGATTTAAAAGCTACCTTCCTCTGTTTGTCTAAGCGATGTAAATGTAATGAGTCGATCAACATATCACTTTCCTTTAACGTGACCTTAACGCCCTCTTTTAAGCAAGCAGTTTCCTCTCCACTCCCTCCTTCCTTCAAAGGTCTTAGAGTAAATAGCTGCTGCTTCTCCCTTTTAATTTGTTGCTTGTTAGATTTTCTCTTCTTTGCTTAAAATCAATTTTTTTTGTTGTTTTTCATCCCCATCATTAATTGATTTACAATTCATTTTTATGCATACAGAGTTTTTCCTATCCAAGTTAAGAAGCTGTAAATCTTAGATGCGTTGAAATGACAGTGAGAAATATTTCATTTTATCCCATGAATCATTTGCCATCCTTATTGCAGAAAAATGACAAAATTATGGTGTACCATGTTTTCATAAATTACTCTGCCCTCCCCACCCCCGCACCCTCGGCCCCAGTTCATTTCATTATTTGTTTGGAAAGGCTGTAAGAGTCAGAATGCAGACACTTGTGGTAAACAATTCTGATTTTACGGCAGGCTAATCAAAATTGCATAACATCACAGATTAATTCCTCTGGTACTGTGAAGAGTTCAATTCACGTACAAGATATATCATCTGTTTTATAAC